TTCTAGCAGCTCAACGCCTCAGTCCGGCTCTGGTTCGAAAGACGCCTTAATGGGCACGTTTCTGTAGTTACTGCACGATGGCGATGCTGCTTCCTCTCCTCGGCCAGCTTTCTCTCTCTTCCCAAATCCTTTCTTTTCCCTCCTCTCCTCCGACTCCTCGTCTCCTCACCCGCTCCTCTTTCCGGCTTCTCCTACGCCACTCCAAAACCCTATCCCCTCCCCTCTTCTTTCCCGCACAAGCCGCCATTTCCGTTCCTCAGGATCCAATCTTCCTTCGTCATTTGCAGCTCTTCGAGGGAGATGAAGTAAAGGAAAAGATCAACAATGAGGATTTCGAAGAAGATGGCCTGGTGGACGAGGAGGATTTGGATCCTATTCGTAGTTTCTTCAAATCCCGTGAGCCAGTCTCGGACCCCAAGCACGAAGGGGGCAGAGGCTGGCACATAGAAGACATAGATTCTGCCGAAGCCGACCTTATGGACGATGAAGAAGAAACCCTTCGATTGGACTCCGAGGCTCCACTTGCCCCTGCTGAGCATGGATTATTAGGAGATATCCTTCGAATCGCGAGGAATCTTCCTGAGAATTCTACGTTGGGAGATTTTATGGGTTCTTTTGTTGGGAAGATTGGGGAAGGTGAATGTGTAGAGCTTTTGGCGAGGATGGGGGAGGAAGGCCTTGCTTGGAGCTGCTTGTATCTCTTTGAATGGATGGGATTGCAGGAGCCGTCCCTAGTGACCACAAGGGCGTGCGCTGTGCTCTTTCCAGTTTTGGGAAGGGCTGGGATGGGGGAGAAGCTGATGATTATCTTTGAGAATTTGCCACGAACGAAGCAGTTTAGAGATGTTAGGATATATAATGCTGCAATTTCTGGTCTGTCATTCTGTAGCAGGTAAAATACTACTTTTATGTGGCTGCACCCTTTTTTTTGCATGGCATCCGGTGCTTAAAATGAATCATTGAAAATATTACAATCAAGCAAGCACGGTTTTTGGAACGTCCTTGTTATTGTTAGGTAAATCATGCGGCTCTTCTTCTGGAAGGTTACTGAAGTTTCCTGTGGCTCTTCTTGTTGGATATTATATTAACTTCTTGTAGCTCTTTTTTGTAGTAATTTCCTGTTTATTCTATGGTTCTAGGGATTCTACTTTTGCTGCTTCTTCTTTTGCAGTACTAACTCACCATGTTTTGTTTTCATGTTGTGTACAAATAGTTCTAATATGTGTAAAAAGGAGAACTTTTTCTTATAAATCATATTTTATTTCTATGTGCAAATCTTTATAATATATTTGATACTAAATAGGGCAAAAAATGTTTGTATAAACTAGCCAAACAAAGAGAAAAGAAAAAT